GTGATTTTGGTTCACAGAAGTATTCCAAGGAGCAAAGGGTATTTTCCTAATACATTGCATCCCTCAACCTCTGACTTCAGTCCCAAATCTGTGGGGGTATTGCATAACTGGGAAAGTGGTTGGTGTAGGTGTTAGTGGAAATACCTTCCTGATACACCCAGAAGTAAAAGAGTCTGGCATCATCTTGATGCCCCTGTTTTGCATCTCTGTGAGCACAGAGTCCTGATGGTACGGAATGTACCCACCAAGTACTCAGCTGAGATTATGTGTTCAGGTTGTGGGCTGTTCTGTCATTCTTCCTTGGAATTACCCTGTTCGGGTTTAAGTTGGATTTGGGAGCAGAAATCCACTGTACAGTCCCCATCTCCCTTCCGACTCATGAGTCTTCATTTAGTACTTCAACTACCCTGTTTTGCTGTGCTTGTAAACAAATAAATCATAAAAAAGCTGGAGGGCACAGAGCAAACCTGTTGGCACTTACCTCACCATGGATAAGGAGAAAAGCCTCTCCAAGGCTGTTTCCTTGGCATTTATGTCTTCTGAGTCAGCTCAGTATCTGAGAGAAACGCAAGAGAGTTGTTTTGAGGCCTTTGCACCTGCCGTGTTGCTGTGCTTATCCAAACAGAGAGAGATTGGACCGCAGCTGAAAAAACAGCCCGGTGCAAGAGCCCGGGATTTTTGACGTCCTTCTTGTGTTTACAGCATCCCACCCTCCTCTCTCCCGACTGCAGTCAGGCAGGAATTCTCTTCATTATCTTCTGCCATGCTTCTCATGCCATTTTTATTAAAAAAAGGAGAGGGAAGGGAAGGGGGAGCATGTGTGAGAGAGCAGAAGAGGAAGAAAACAGCCGTATTTATTACAGTCAATGACAATGCAGGAAAAAGGATGGAAGTTTGGGGAGCAGATCTGTTTGGGTTGTCCTAAAGTGACCTTATCCTCCAGCTTAATTATCAATTGCTTTTGGAGCACCTGAGCATGGGGTAGCTTGTAAACGCTGTGGTGTTGGTGGATATCTGGTGTAAATCAGGACCTCTGGAAGTGGAACTGGGTGTTTTGGAGGTTGTGAGCAGCATGTGGGGACAGACTGGACAGCTCTACCCTGCAGATGACAGGACAAGGGATGGTTTAGACTTTTGGCTTCTCTGTTTGTGGTAGTATTCAGTCCACCTTGGCAGCTGATCGAAAGGACTGCAACAAGGGAAGATGTGGAGTTGCTGCTGTTTGCTGCCAGATTTCCTGTTTTGCTCAGCAAGTCTTCCTTGCTAGAGAAGAGCAAAGGTGACAGTGTTAGAGGGAAACAGGGACATCAGTGGCAGACCAGGGCTTGTTCTGGGCTGCAGAGAGATGTCCAGGAAATGTTGTCTTTTGACTCTAGAATTTGGTGGGTATTTAAGGTCAAAGACAGACGAGTCCTTCATGAGGACACTTGAGGTGTAGAATTTGTGTGTTTCACATGACACTGCCTGTGGCAGCCATAATTTAATTGGGGATGCTTAAAACTTTGTCATCGTGTCCTTAAATAACGGGAACGCTGTCTGCTTTCATTGCTGTCTGGCCATTTATCTTTTCACAGGGCAGGAGCTGGGCTCAGCCTTAAGGATATTTGAAATTTTGTTGGAAACAAGTCTTTGCTGTATGAAAACACTCCTGCTGCTATTTGTAGTAGGAAAAACATATATGCCATTGTAGTAAGAAGAGAGGCATGGGATGTTTGCTTCCCCTTGATGCTTTCACTGCCTCTTGAGTGTGTGCTGTGCCCTCAGATGCTGAAGCCCCGCAGTGTGCACTGAGCAGGTGTGGTTGGGGCAGTGGCAGCTCTGCTGGAACTCAAGGGCATGTGTGTTTCTTCTATAAATTCAGTGATCCTTTAAACCCACCTTGGTCTGAGTAAAAAAAAAAAAAAAGCAAAACAACTTCCCCCAGGTATAATTTTCCCAGAAGTTTTCCAGGAACACCCGAACTGAGAGCAGAGGTCCCTCGCCTGGGGGACAGGGTGAGATTAACCCAACTGCCCAGCCTCCCCAGTAAAAACAGGAAAAGAATTAGAGGGTTCTGTGTTTCTGACCCTGGATCCATCACTAGCCACATCAGGCAGGCGAGTTGCCCTCGTGGTATTTCACACGGCACATCCTAATTCCCCCTCTAAGCAGGGCTTGAGTCATTGCTTTTTAATAAGAGTCCTCCCCACAGGCGGAAGCTGCAGCGATCAATGCGGCTTACTCACTTCTCGAAAAGGTCATTAAAAGACCGTAGATATAAATTTAAAAGAGTGTTTGTTCACATCCTTGATGTTGAAGATGTTCTTCCCTCTCCGCTTCCTTAAGGAGCACCGCGCGGAGCCGCCCGTGTGCTGGTCCTGCCTGACAGCCAAGTGCCCCTTGTCGCTGTCATTGTGCCATCAGCTCCCAGGGAAGGCAGGAGAGAAAATAAACGCTCAAAATTCACACTTTTATCACCACTCAGAGAAGAGCTTGTCTTGCTGACATCTCCAGATACAGTCTGTAATATTGACCTTGGTGTCATAGAGCTATATAGGAGGGAATAAACTCCTATTTATTTTTTTTTGTTGTTGTTGTTTTCTTTTCTTTTTCCTTGCACTCCTTCCTCCCTCACTATGGGACTGGATTGCTGCCTGAAGTATTGCACATATCATGCCTTTAGCAGCTATATTTTTCCAAAATATGGGTACTTTGAAAGAATATTAAAACTCCTGGTTGCTGCCGATATGATATATTTAACAGTTCAGGGGGATATAAGCATCTCGGGTTCCAGTTGTTGAGATGTGAAATGCCACATCCAGCTCAGTCAGCTTTTTGTCACATCAGGCCAGGGTGAGCTGAAAACTGTGGCTTGACTTAAGAGTTTCTAAGGTGGCTTTTTGCACTCAGCCCACCAAAAAGCAGTGCGGCTTTATTTATTTTCTAACTCCTATAGCTGCCCCAACCGTTCATTTGTTAACAGTTTTTTTCGAAGAATTGAACCTTTTTTTTGTGGTTAGCAGATCCCCAGTGACAAAATCCACATTTCTGCAAGTGTACTTGTTAATCTTAAATATTTGGCGAATGGTTTTGAGACAGAACTTGAGAAATAACTGCCCTATACTAATCAGAGCTTGGCTCTGCTTTGATTTCATCAGTACTTATCAGAAACTTCTCATTTAATAAGTGGATTTATCTGGGAATGAAATCTAGAGGAAACCCTCAGTATTATACAGCAGTGTGTGTTTGGCCACTTAAGTTACTTCCCATAATTATTTTTTCTTTTAAAAAACCCCAAAAAACAGGCCCACCAATTGCTTTAAACAAGCCCCAAGGGCAGAAGTTTGAAAATTTTCCCTCTGATTGAATAAACACTCTTACCAATATCTGGGTAGATGTCTCCCCAGTCTGTAGGTGAATTAAGATACTGTTTGTGCTACATGAACTCAATAATTCAGCTGTTAGAAGCCACAGACTGTTGCTGACAGGAATAAAGTGCAGAAGGAATGAGAAAGCCAGTTGTGTTTTTGTCCCACTGAGTTTCACTCCCATTTCACTGCCCTGTTGGAACAAAGAATCAGATCCCAGTGCAGTTCACTCAGTGCCAGTTATTTTGCAGGCAGAGTATCTGTGAGAAACAGCTTTGTTGTAAAATATAATGTGGGATATTGGAGTTTAAGTCATGCTTGTTAATTTAATGAATGTTGTAACGAGATACTTATTTCACCTTGAAGACTGAAGATTTCAGTAACTCAGTCCATTGATATCCACATCACTGCTCTGTGTAGTAGATGTATCTCCTTGTAGTACACACCCCATTAATATGTGCTTTTTGACCAAGTTCCTGTGGCAAAGAGACATGTATATTACTGTCAGTAATTGGGGCAATGTGAGTGTAGTAAGCAGAGGACTGGCAGGGGTTAGGGAAGAGCTGGGCTGCCTTATGGGCCCTGCCCAATTAGCCTGATTGATGACTTTGAGCAAATCATTTTGCCTTCACTACTGCCCAGCTTTACAAATTGGCACAATAAGGATAAGGGTAATGAGTTTCTTTGTGGAAGGTTTTGAGTTTTGATAATGTAAAAAACATTGTAAAAGAGCTAAACATTTTTATTAGGCTTATATTATTTCTGTATTGCATATAAAAATTATCCTTCATTTACAGATGCACAGGATTTGGGTTATTATGGCTTTGCATAAATATGTAGCAATTTGCAATTTGTTCATTCTTTCTGTGAGTATTTCGATGTTAATACCATGATCCTGTGCTGTTGTGTGAATCCTCTTTTTTTTTTTTTTGCTCAGAAACAAAAAAATCTTTTTAACTCTACTTTTTAAAATACCAGTATGCAAAGTGGATTATTTATTTATCACTGAAACATCCTCAGTCCCGTTCTGTCTTAAACTAATAATCAAGCTCCCACTGGCTCCAGCTGTGGTTGTGTTGAGCTCAGGGCTGCTCAGGAAATAGTGAGTGTTTACAGGGTATTTTAAGTTCCCTAAATGAACTGTGCCACAAATTTGCTGGTAACGCTGTCCCTGGTGTGACAGACAGGAGCAGAAGTGTCCAAGGCTGGACACAGTGAGGCACAGGGCTGGTTCCTCAGGTGTTGAAGTGCATGGATGGTCAGTAATGCTCCTAGTGTTTCCCACTGCACGTGGTGAGGATTGACAGTGCCATGGTGCCAGTGCCATGCCATCTCTGCAGCGGGTGTGAGCAGCAAACTGCATGGTTTTCATCAGGAAATAGCTTAGCTGCCAAATGGTCAAGAGTCTGCACCTATTTCAGGGCTGTGCATAAATCAGGCACGGACAGAGCTGACTCTGCTCACAAGAAAAAGACACCCAACCAAAAATCAATCCCATAAAAAAAAAAAAAAAGGCAGGAACATTCAGAAGATCTGAATGAACTAAACTTTTCTGCTTTTTTAGCAGCCAACCCCCACTTCAGTAGCTCCTTCTCTACCCTTTGCTGCTGTCTTTGTTGTACCAATCCCTCAGTATTTCCTCTTGCCTCGCAGGGAGCTGAGTGACAGGACCACGTACACGTACCAGGTGGTCGTTGTTTCTGGGATGGAGGAGAGTGAACCTTCCCCTGCTCTCGTCTATATCTCTGGAAGTGGATACTGTGGAGACGGGATCATCCAAATGTAAGTCTGGAGCGAGCAAACAGATAAATCTGGACACATCTACTCAAGCCAGAATCAGAGACTAGAAAGGAACTGATGACCTCTGACGTCTCCTTAGCTCAGGCCGGCTCTCATCTGTAGATAATGACTCATATGCTGATGATTACCAGGATGATGACATTTAATTGTAACGTAGGCCCTGCTATCCTGGCACCAGGAGATACAGACAGAGATACAGATAATGGAGCCCAGACAACAGGATCGATAGGAAAGTCCACTGTGTGCTGTTTATGCTGTTTGTCCACATATCTTTATACATGTAAATGACATTTCCTATACAGGGCTGAAGTGGGTGCTGGAAAAATCCACACAGCCTTTGATGCTGCCCTTACACTTGGTGTCCCATGTGTCTCACAGCTGGTGGACAGGGGGAAACCCTGCCACGTGTTGGGCCAGGTTCCTGGTGCAACCTCTTGTTTGACCGTCCAGCAGAGCTGGGATGCATTTGGAGGTGATAGACTTGGCCTCTGAGAATTGCGTGTTCTCAATCAGCTCCCCTCTCTCACTGGCTGCCAGTCCCCAGGCCACTGAAAATGTAAAACAATCCTTCATAACTGTGTTAGGGTTTGTTCTTTTACTATGTTGGCCCTTAAGGCCACTGCTTCAGAGCTTCCTGGCATTAGGTAATTTAATTATTTAAACTGTGGAAGTAACAACAAGCAAGTGCTTAATCCAGCCAGTATTATTTGCTTGGAATAATGCTGATCAGCAATCACACAGCACAACTCTGTCAAACGATACACCTGGCAGCAAATATTTGCAGGATGAGGCCCAATAGGCAAGGAAATCAAAGAGAACAACCAAACAACATATGAATCCAGGGCAGACTTGGAAAGAGAGGTGGAGAAAGACAGATTAATTCTGCTTTACATAACTTTTCTGCTACTGTTGTGTTTGCACATTCCTCAAACATCACTTGTGGCTTTGCAGCAAGTGTCAAACAATAGCTGAGCTGCCTCAGGAGCAAGCAGGAACCAGACTATGTCACAGCTTGGTTGGTTGTGGCCCCACTTGCAGCTGTGGCAGCCCCTTTCTCATCTGGTTCCCACTCTTCTCCCCACCCTCTGCTGCAATAGTGGGGGCTGGTCCAATGACACCACCTGCTCCCTGTCAACCACTCTCCTCCAAGTGCTGTCACCTGGAATAGCCCAGCACCAGACTTTATGCCTTATTATTCCCAGCTGGGGTCACAGTCTGGCCCTTCCAGATTTAATACAAAGAGTTTCAGAGATTCCTCTTCTCTTTCTCCCCACCTGCTGAGCTGCAGCCACACCAGCTATGAAGGAAGTTGCTCATAACCTCATCAGAGAACAGCAAGTGGTATCCACATGTGCAGGAGAGAAGCGGCCAGGCAAGCCTGTGAACTGGGAAGGATGAAACTGAGGGCTGGAGGAGAAGGGAGGATGTATTTTAGGGGTTGGCACAGAAAGCTGTTGTACTAGTTTTCGGGACTCTGGGGTTCTTTGGCGGGGTTGCAGCAATTGGGATGTTGCCATTTGCCATCTGACTGCCTTTTTTTGCACGTGTGTGCCCTGCCTGCAGAGAACTGGGGGAGGAATGTGACGACATGAACAAGATCAACGGCGATGGCTGCTCCCTGTTCTGCCTGCAGGAGTTGTCCTTCAACTGCATCGGTAAGTCCAGCTCGGAGCCTTTCCACACACGGTGGGCAACAACTCCATGCAGAGTGCAAGGAAAAAAATCAACAGTATTTTTCAGCGTTTCCAGCTGAAGAGTTGTCATGGAAGAGAGAAAAAAGGTGGAATTTGTAGGTTTGAAAGGCAAACATATCTTCCCAGCTTCTGGTCATTTTGATGGGAAATTGGTTCTGCTGGCTTTGAAATAGCCTAGGACTTAAGGCTAAGTCAGCCATTGTGGGACTGATCCAAAGCCCATTGAAGTCAGTGGGTGGTTTTCCACTGGCTTCAATAGGCTTTAGATCTGACTACGTGAGAAGACATGAACTGATTTTTTTTCTGGTAAACAGGAGGAGGAGTGAAAGGGGAAGGGACTGAGACCAGAAGCAAGTCCAGCTGAGGTCACACCTCCTTTGAGTTGCAAATCAATATCTGAGGATCAAAGGTCTGGCTAATCCCCTTTTTCAGAGGTGAAAACTACTTAATCAGATTTCATTTGCAAGCCTGGTTTGCTCTGATTAGTAAAACCTGTAAGCACAATGGCCGGAAGATGCTCGAGCTATCGGGGATAGCAGGGCTGCAGTTGTGAGCTTTACATATTTATTAAACTTTCTAAGAATGCTGTGGACAGAGAAGGGAAATGGAGTCCAATTTACACTGCACCTTCTGTGGGGTAGCCCCACGATGTGGGATTGCTTTTCCCAACCAGGGCTCTGTGAGGTCTGGGAAAGAATGAATCACATAGAGCTTCAAGAACCAGAGTGAGTGTTTATAAAGGGTCAGCTTTTTCTCAAGGCATTTTATGAGAGTCCTTATCTGGACTGACCAACAAAACCCTCTGTCCCATGTAGTGGTCTCGTGCCTCCAGCTCAGGGCATCAGTCCTAAGCAGATAATATGCTGTTGGCACGTCTGAAATTTGCTCTTTTTGGCAATCTGACCATTATCTCCTGTGCTTGGAGCAACATATAACAGACCTCACAGGCACCATGCTTCCCTGGGGTGGTAAACTGGGGACTGGTTGGCTCATCAGAACAGCTACAATTTTACTTCAGCATCCCACGCTGTGAGACTTGAGGCCTGATTTGTTGATGTGCTTATTTACATACGTAAATAGCTCTATTGAAATCGAGCATATTTATGGTCGAGGCTAATTGTGACTATTGGTGGTCTTGAAGTTACGTTTGTGTTTCAAGTAACTTGCTGCCTTAGAGCCTCAAGCACTTGAAAGATGTTAGTCATAATATTTTGAAAGTGAGATAAACACTTAGGTAAATGTTTTGGGTTCTCCAGAAGTCAGGCATAGTGTGAGGCTGGTTCCAGCAAGGGTTTGAGCTGGAGCTGGGTGGTTGTATCTGTATCACCCTGCTCACCAGCAGGTCTGAATTCCTTGCCCCAGGTCTGCACTTTGACCACAACCCAGTGTTACATCACCCATGTCCATTGGTTCTCAAAAACTAAACAGGTGGTGTGGGCTGGGTGGGAGCTGCAAAATGTTCCAGGTAAGTCCATGGATAGGAGTAAGGGTGGGGTGTCCCAAGCCTTAGACCACACAGTGGTGTCCTACTAGGGGAGTGCAGGAGTCTGCTTCGTGCCTGTGTACATAAAATCACAGAATTGGTTGTGCTGGAAAACTCCTCAACATCATCGAGTCCAACCGTATCATCCATCCACCATCACCCAACCATCCATCCGTGGTCAGCCAACATGTTCATCACCAGGACCAGCAACAGGGCTGGTTCAGAATGTGCAGCAAAGCTGTCTGACAGCAAAATGATTAGAAAATGAAGCAACTAAAACACACACGGATTTTTTTTCTATGCCATTACAGAGGAAGTGGTTTTTCAGATTTGCTTGTGTTGGAAAGGAAAGGGGAATTCCAGGGGTGAAAAGTTGTTTGTTTGTCATGGGCTTTGGAAGGTTGTGGGTTTGCACAGGTCCTGAATTACAAAAGCGAATGATATCAAGTTGCCTGTGAAATACCAAATACAGGGACTCACTTGGATGAATCAAACGAGCTGAATCAAAGGGAAGGTGCAGGCACACGGACCTTACAAACGTTTTGTTGTGTGACTGTAGAGATGTGGTGGTGGGACTGCTGTGCTGGTGGGAGCAGGGTCTGCCAGGGCAGAACTGCTGCTAGTTTTTTGCAAACCCTGCCTTCATCAAGTCTCTAGGACAGGTTCAGAGAAGGTAATACCTGGGAAACAGGTCCTTGTTGGCTTTTGTGACTGCTGGACCACCACGAATTATGACATCAAGAGCTAAACAGACACTGCTGGTTCATCTTTCAGACAAATGAACTGTGCTGATTTATGTTCTTTTTTAACATATCAAGCATTAAAATCTCACCAGAAAACATAAAGATGTTGTGGAAGTGAGTGGCTGTTCATATTACATAATAAATAATAATAAAAAAGAGCAGAAATTCAGCATTCTCCACAGTCTAATAATATCAGACCTGATCCTCTGCCTTAAGCCAAACAAAATTCTTCTTTGATACTGGCGGGGTGTTTTTTTGGAAAATACAGAATTCTCAGGTCCCTCTTTGAGGAGCACAGAAAAAAAATAAGTGTAATTTATTTCCCTGTTTGCAAGGCTAACACATGTTATAATCCTGTAGGACAAGAAGTAATTATTTCAGACAGTGTTATTTTTGCAGTGATGTTCTTGTTGTATTACGTAGCTCTTTAGAGCCCCGGGAATCACTCCCCTTCACCAAAGAATTCAGTGAGCCTCAAACACATGTTCAGAGGCTTTGCTGAATCGGGGGCCTCAGGGTTTGATCTTGCAAATGCTTTCTTCCAGGCATGTTTCTGAACTACCACAAGGCATTCTTTAGTCTTCAGCAAATCTAACCACAACAGTGAATGCAATGCTTGTCACAAATTGTCTGCAGGATTGGGTCCCACGTGGCTGAAAATAATCGCTAAACATTTTGTTGGCTGAAGGCAGGACTGAAGGGGCGTCATCAGGGGGGTTCCAAAGCAGGGGGTGCAAAGCCCAAGTGGGCTCCTTCCTCCCAAAGCACAGACCACGTAAGTCACCTCGCCTGGTAGAAGAGAAATACAACAGAGCCCGCAAGCACCACCAAGCTTTAGATTTAGAGCCATGAATCACAGCATAATTTGGGTTTGAAGGAGTCTCTGGAGGTCTCTGGTCCAAGGAGGGCCAACTTCAAAGTTAGACCCAGCTTCAAAGTTGGAGCATGTTGCTCAGGGTCATGTTCAGCTGAGTTCTGGATATTTCCAAGGATGGAGGCAGCCTGTTTGCAGGTGTCCCTCTGCCTCTCTTGCTCCCTTTGCCTTTTAGGATCTTGAGGTTTATGGGGTTTTTTAATTGGTCCAACTCTCCTTTGACTAAATGGCACAAGGCTCTCAAGACACTTTGCGCTAGTGCCTGTAATAAAATTAGACTTCTTTTTATTTTTTAGTCGTGGTTTTGTTTTCCCTCCTCCTTTCCTCTCTAATCAGATAACAGTGGATCAATCTGCTCTGCCAGGGAGGAGAGGGGGTGGGGGAAGGAAGGAGGGAGGCAGGGAGGAAAACTGTGTGGTCTTACTGTCAGGCTGTCCTGGCCTTCTCCGAGCACAAAGCCGAGGAACAGAAAAGATTAATAGCGTTTTCTTCCTGCAACATGCTGAAGAGCGACAGTGAGATTAATTAATTAATTAATGGAAGCATCTGGCAGGGCTCCTTTTCTTTTTTTTTAAAGTTCTGCAGTACACTCGTCCTTCCCCATCCTGAAATTTATCATCTCTACCTTTCCCCCCTCCTCCCTTGTTTCGTACAGCGGATTTTACATATTTTCTCTCCTCTGCACAGAATTTGGTCCCATGGGGGAAGTTTCACTTTGCCTTTTGATTTGTAGGAGACAGGTGATTCCAAGTCATGTCCGTGTGACTGATGCACCCCTCTCCTACCTCTCGGCTGCTTTTCTTTCACCTTGCTCTTGATTACTCCCGGGATAACTGATTTTCGCAGTTACCGCGGATCTCAGCCAAGTTCAACCTGTGCAGAGCAGACCCCATTTGTAAGAGTTATGGCTCGCAGTTGTGGGAACCCAGGGCTTAGCACTTGATCCATTCCCGGTGGAGCAGTGAGAAATGGGTGTCTGAGGCACAGCTGAGCACCTTGTCCTTGGCGTGCACTCCCACACACCAACATCGAGTGCACAACATCCAGATATATGTGCGGACGCTGAGAAAGAGCCCGGCTTTCATTTGCATTCCTTTTGTGGAGTGGGATGTGCATTATGCATTGATTTAGCTCACCAGTGCTGAAGAAAGAGGAGGATATAATAAAAAAGATGCAGAGATCAATAAAAAGGGAGGGAGGGGGAGAGAAAGTAATATGAAAAGAGATGAGTAAAGACTGATAGACACATTGAAGCACAGCTGGGAAGTAGCTCCAGAACTTCTATCTCCCTTTAAGTGTGCCAGGTAATTTATGGGGTTTTCAGTGGCATCTTATTGGTGTTATTATTGCTACACTTTATCTCCTTTGCTTATAAGGGACTCTTGGCTAAAGCCTTTTTACAGCAGAGCAGGGCAGCACTTCCACTGACTTCCACATGTGAGTGGTTGCCCTGAAGAACGGGAATGTTTCAGGTTAGACACACGTCTCCATGGTGTGTTGGATTGGGGCCTCAGGGATGTAAAATACAAAGAAAAGGCACAGAGCAGAGGGAAAAAGAAAATAAATATATCTAGCTCTTAAGTTTACCACTAGTTTCTGGCATGCTTGAAGCATTAGTCACCAGTGGTTGTGCAGGGAGAAGTATGATTTTAATTTGACAATGATCCTTAAACACCTTTTCTTTTGCTCCTGCTTGGCCTCAAATGTTTTTCTGCTACCTTACAAATCTGGATCTGTCCTCCTCTTCCTCAGAGGCCTCTCCCTCCAGCTGTGAGCCTTACCTTTGTGGGAGCTCTATCCTTTACCTCTCCCATTATCCATAAATTAAGCATAGCACTTTCCCCTAATCTTATTGTTTGGC